CAACTAATTATCTGCAATCCACCCTTCAATGGCTATGGTCAGCAATTCGGCTCAATGTGCTTTGACTTTCGGACAAATATATTGTTGTTGAGGGTCTTCTTGGGCTCGTTTACAAGTTCAACAGCCATTTTTATAGATTAGTTGGGACATAATAAAAATAAGGAGATGGTAAATTAATAACTCCACTTTAATCCGCAATATATGAAAAAAATACTAACAAAAGAAAAAGTTTTGGGCGGGAGTTTCAAGGGAACCCAAAATTAACTGATTTGCTTATTTTTAGGCAAAAAATAATGGGCTTTTAAGCCTTTAATATTGAAAATTAGGATTTCACTATGGAAGATTACTCCTTCGAAAATGTTTTTGGGTAAAGTAATCCGACTTGCTATTGGTGGATAAGTGCCATTATCAAATTTGGCTAACCTTTTGCTTTCGAGGGTTAAGTTGGCACAAAAACCAGCCGGAGCAAATAACACTATGGGGATATCTTTACCAAACAGTTCAATAATTTTGGCTAATCAGACTTCAGAGCCTAATTGCTGACCATAGCCATTGAAGGGTGGATTGCAGATAATTAGTTGGGGTTTAACTTTATACTGAAAAACATCTATTCCATCCCAAGTTAAGAAATCTTGAATTAAGACTACGGGGTCTTGGCTATCTCCTTCTATTTCAATTCCGTAAGTGGGATAACCGGCTTTTTGTCAAGGTTTTAATAAGTTTCCTTGACCATAGCAAGGGTCTAAAATAGGATATCCTTTTTTGATAGGGAATTTATCCCTCAATAATTCAAAAATAAACTGGCTGACTTCTTTTGGGGTGTAAATAGTAGAGGATTTAGGTTTTAGGTGATAATTATTTAGTTTGGTGTTATACATGGTTTTCTTTATATAATTTGCAAGTCTTTAACTTTACTAAAAGTTCCTTGATTAGTTTGATTAGGGAGTTCTTGATAAGTAATCAGGACTTGCCGGTTAATAAAATTGTAAGGAGTAGTAGTTAAAGCAGTCAAAGTTTCGGTTTTTAAACTATTACTAAACGCATAAAAATAACGGTTAACTAGTCCGTGGAGGGTCAGACGAACATACGGATTGCCGTTTTTGTCGGTTTTGGATTCAATCTCAGTAATTCGAGTTTTAATTTGGAGTTCTTGAGGCATGGAATTGAATATTGATTCGGGGTTTAGTTTTAGTGGCTTGGCACCTTGGACAAGGTTGAGTGGTGATGGTTTTTGACTTTAAGTTTAAAAAAATTATCTCTTTTAAAGGTCTTAATTGTTGACAGTTAGGACATTTAATCTTAAAAAGATAAAGTAAAGTGAGGGCGAAGAGCAAAATTCCTCAAATGATACCTAAAAATAGGGTGAGTAAAATGATGATGAACATAGTTTTTTTGATTTTTATGGCCTACTGTCCCAAACCAAATAGTGGCGGGAGCACCTAACCAGTGGGACAGCAGTAAGAGAACGAGAAAATTATTGCTCCTGATTAGGCTCAAATGTTTCCCGTTAGCATGGACAACTAACGAGGAGGTGTCTCCTCCTTTAGATTGGCGTTCTCTGTTCGATTTTACTTTTGGTGTTATCCATGATTTTCTAACTTTTCTTTTCTGGCTTTAAAAATTATTTCTAAAAAGCGGGATATTTCTAAGGCTTGGGCGATTAGTTCTAATTCGGATGGACTAAATTCTGAGCCAATTTGACCGGTTTTTAGTTCATTGATTTTGATAATTAGTAATTGATATTTAGTTTCTTGATTCATAGCGGTAATTCATTTGTCAGTTATTTAAGTATTGGTTGCGAGCCCGGGTTTCACAACCACAGCAATCACCTAGTTGCTGAGTGAGTTCATGTTGTTGGTCATGGATAATCGGGTAAGCATAGAAATCTTGGCTTTCTTCGAGGTCATATTCCTCAGCATAAGTGTCTAATTTATCGATAAAGGCTCTAATGATAGAGGCTTGTTCAGGTAAAAAAGTGAACCGCAAAACGGGTTTGGTTTGAAAATGGGTATAAGGAAGTTGGTCGCAAGCACCATTTTCTTTGCTGACTCTTTCTTGTTCTAAGGGGAGATGACAGAATTCCGCCGATTTACATAAAAGTAATAAACGGGTGATTAAGAATGCTTGGAAGTCATGATTGAGTGGCCGTTTAGGTTTTTTGAGCGAATAGACTTCTTTTTTATTATGTTTAGTGGCTAAAGTTAGTAAAGTTAAGGGGTTTAAAGTGCGAGTTCCTAATCTAAAGTGCTTTTTATTGAGATAAGGTTTTTGGGCTTGACCCACTAATTGCTCGTTAGTGCGGTAAAAATAAGTAGTTTGGGCGGTATGGTAATCGTAATGGCGAAAAATTTTTTGATTTTTGGGCAGATGCTGACCACTTTGAGCATCCAGTTTATGTTTGGAGATTAGAAGAGCAGGCTTTTGGTCGTATTGGTAAAGATTTTTAAAAAAACGATAGGCTTTATTGTGGGCTTGAAAACCATGTTGAGTATAGAGCGAGCGTAAGTGAAAACTTTTGGCTAAATACTTGGCTAGATAGTTAGAAATGGTTTTATAACTAGGTGATCTACTTTCTACTCTTCCATAGGGTCATAATTGGCTAATGTAAGCACGACCATTTCAGCAAGAGGTAAAGTTCTTGTCGAGGGTGCATTTATGAGAGTGAGGAACTATTGGAGTGCTTAATAAGTGAAAATGTCAAGTGGCGGGGCGATTATTTTTTGGTTTTTGTAATTCGGCTACTACCGTTCATTTTCAGTGGTCAGGTTTTCATTTTAAACGAATATTCCATAAGAATTTAGTTAGATATTGACTGGCAATCGTAAAGTTGCTGGCATGCTCCTGGGGAACCTTTTTTATTTTGATTTTCATGGGTTCAGCCGACGGATCAAAATTTTGGGCTCAGTTTTTTAATCAGTGGTTTTTTTTCGAAATAAGTTCTCAACAAGCATCATTCGGATCAGTATTAGTAGTAAAAGCATAATAGTTATCGTGAGTGGTGTTGAAAGTTAAAGTGAGAAATAAGACTGGTTGATCACCTTGGGTTCCCTCAAAGTTGGCTTCGACTTTATCTTTAAAACGAGTGTATAACTTCTTTTCTTTAGAGTTAAAAAAGGAAAAGTAAACGCAGTTTTGCGCATCTTGGAGACAGTCATCGGGTTTAGTTTTAGGAGTGGTTGGCAACTCGACTGGCTTAGTTTTTTTAGGTTGGTCTAAATAAAAGGATTGAGCCGAATTCTTAGATAAGGTAACGCTAATTCGGTCAGTGGATTCAATGTGTTTAGTGGAGACTGACAAGACACTAAAGGAAGTGTGGTCTTGGGTTAAAAAGGCTTTTAAGTCGGATTTAGATACTTGTTTGATTTGAGCGAGGTCATTCAATAATTTTTGAGGACTTTTTGCTAAGGAATTAAAACCTGTAGTTATGTTGCCATTAGAAAATATATAGGTAGATAGTGGAAAATAAAAGTAGAGTTTAAGTTTAGTGTAAAATACTATATTAATCCCAAATAATTTTAACTAATACAATGAAAGAAAAAAGTAAAATAACCACCAAAACAGTCCAAAGACCTTTAAAAGTAGAGTGTTTTTATACTCCTTCTTTGGGAAATAAATGCGGTAAAATCTTTGAAGTTAAGTATAATCGCTCTTGTGGTGAGTATGTTCAAAAAAATAACTGGGGTTATTGAACCGAAAAAGAGGAAGATAGACCAAATTATCTTTGTAATGAGTGTTTAATTTCTTTTTATAAAGAGGATAAATATACTTTTTGAGAAAAAGTTTCCAGTGAAAAAAAGAGGAACATACTTCGCACTTATGTAAATAGCAATAGCCTTAAATCCAAAAGGAAAATACTCCCTTGTGATGGGAATGGTTGTGAAACTGCCTGCTGTTATGGCTGTCAGTGCTGTGAAGAAAAAAGCAAACTAATAAAGGAGTTAGCGGGACAAATTAAAAAACTTGAAAAACGAGTAAAAAAGTTAGGGAAGTTATAATTTTAACTTAAATTATAAAAAAGAGAATTAGCAATAAATGGTGGGTAAAAATAAACATTATGAATCAAAGGTATAGAAACGTAAAAAAATTTTACATTGAGGATTTGTTAGAGGTTCAAGTTATTAAAAACAAACTCGGGAAAGATACATATGAAAAAAGGTTGAAAGACAACGGAGTTGAGAACTGAAGTGAAATTTTGTGAGATAAAAAGGAATTTACTGAATTAAATGAATATGCTGTCAAAATAGCTAATATAATTTGAAATGGTGCTTATACAACTTATCCTTTTTCAAGTGTTTCAAAAAATAAATACGACAACCTCCTTCTAAAAGACCAGCAGGAAGAACAAGAATTAACTAATTTGAAAAATGAAAAAGACCAATTGGCGAACTCAGTCCACCATTATGAGCAAGGATTAAAAGCGGTTATCGGCAATGATTTAACCAGTTGAGAAAACAAAATAGTTAAAAAAGGTAGTAATGATAAGGATATTTCTTTTTGGGGTCTAATACTTTTAATTCCAAATATCTTTTTCAAATCTTATGAACTTGTTTTGCTATTTCTTGGAGAGTGGTAGAGTAAAGCTGTTTAAAGATGGGATTTTCTT